GTAACTTTTTTTTTCCATTTCTGGATATTGAACCTGGGTTCTTATGTATACAAGGCTGTACGATCTTAAAACAATTTTTTTTTATTTTTTTTTTTTTTTTTTTGGTGTACCTGGGAATTGAAACCACAGTCTTTACAGAGTCACACCTTCAGCCATATTTTGGTTTGATTTGGTTTGGTTTGGGATTTGGTTTTTAAATTTTGAGACTGAGTCTTGCCAAGTAGCCCAGGTTTGGCTCAAACTTGAGATCCTCCTGACTCAGCCTTCTAGAGTGCTGGGGTTTAGAAGCATACCCCAGTAAAGCTTAACTCTTAAAACTAATCGTGAATTAAAATGGCTTTTATCAGACTTTCAAAAGTAACTGATTCCTGGTGCAGTGGTTCCTGCCTGTAGTCCTAGCTGTTTGGGAGGCTGAGGCAGGAAAATCACAAGTCCAAGAGTTCAAGGGCAACCTGGAGAACGTAGCTGTCGTATTCACTTTCCTCATTGCTAGAACAGTATATACCTGACCGCACAGCTTAAAGGAGGAAATTTTTATTTGGGCTCACAGTTTCAAAAAAGATCCTGTCCTTGCATGGTCAGCAGCATGGTGGAAGGGCCTGGTGTGGAGGAAAGTTGCTCACATCATTGCAGCTAAGAAGCAGAGCAAGAAGGGAGGAGCTGGGGAGGGAGTGACTCCCTACCAGGCCAAGCCCCAGTGACTGCCTCTTCCAACCAGGCAGCCACCGCCTAACATCACACTTAGCTATCGCACCCCCTACCCCTGTAATTCAGTCACCTTCTGGAAGCCCCACCTGTGAGCACCTGAAGCCCTTGGGGGATATCGAGATACAAACCATAACAATGAGAATTAGTAATAACAACTCTTATTGATAATATACTTCTCAAATTTTAAGGTGGATAACATTTTACTGAAAAATCACTTACTTTCTATTTTATACATTTGAGAAAGAGAAAAAATTGAGAAACTTGCCTTTATTATCAATCTATTATTCTCATATCCTTTCTTAAAACAGAAACAGAGCAGCAAACACTGCAGCCAACTTTGATTCTTTTTTCTGGTTTTGTTTTTTCCTGTGCTGGAGATCAAATCCAGGGCCTCAGGCATACTGTACCTCTACCTATCCCTCATTCATACTCAAAAAGATTTGGTGCTTATTTGGTGCTATTTTTATAGCATTATTAATAATTATACTTTAGCATTTATAAGCACTTATATATGCATTAAATATTAATTAGATGAACCTACCATATACATTCTTTCACTCCTTGCCTTTCTGAATTTCCCACTGAGGCAACTCAAAACTGGCCCACTAGCAGAAATGAATTAGGCTTGATCATGTACCTGAAGATTTAACCTTCCAAGAAGATGCCACAGTTAGGAGTAAGTTAGAGGAAACACTGATTTATATGTTGTCTTGCTATTACTTGCTGTGCATGGGTGGCCAGTGCACCGGAGGAGTTGATGGGTTTTCTCTCTTGCTGTCTCTGCTTAGGGAAAGCCTGACAATCTCAGTAGCTGTCTCTCACACTTCAGGGAGCATCTATGTGCCAAATTCTTCCTGTTCTGCCATCTACCTGTTGCCACTATGTGCCAACAGAGATCCCCCTCTGCCCTTGCACCTGGGATAGTGCCCAACTGCAGGCCACCACAGCAGCTCACACTGCTCTGCAGGCCACCTTACAGAATCCTCCCTCCCTGTAGCCAAAGAGAATTTTCTCTGCTTAACACTGTAATGCATTTGCTATAATTGTAGGCTTTTTAAGATGTTGATAATGCAGATTTGATATCATATGAGCAATAAAACGGAACAGAAAATAATAGTATGTTCCACATCTCTGAATTTGAACCCATGTATATGTTTTAAAAGGTGAACTGTTTCAGAACATTTAATTAATAATTGTATCAATGGTTTAACATTTTGAACTGGAAAATATTTACTATTACAAAATCTTTATCTAACAGCAAGAGGCCCACAAGGTTCAATCAAATGATGGAAAAGAATTGGATGTGAATGATGATGTATTACCTAAAAATATTCCAAAAGTAGATGAGAATGCTGCAGATAAGAATGAAGAACCCTCGAGTAATCATATTCCACGTGGAAAAGGTATTATTATTCTTTTGTTTTGTGTTAATATGATGTTGACTTTTTTTATCCCATTTTGAAGTGAACATTTTCAATCATAAAATTGTTTGATTTTAGTTCAGATGTATAAATGATTAAGTATCTGTATTGTTTAAAATTTGCATCCTTTGACAGAAAAGAAAAAAGTAGATGTTCAGTCAATATAGGCTATTGTTTTAGAAACTGGTTATTACTTTCCTTTGAAACATTTTCATTTATACATATTAAAAAAAAATAGAAGTTATATCTTTTTGTTACTTGGGCAGAGCAAATCAAACGAGATGGTGATGCAGGGATGCCTGGAGTAGAAGAGAATGACCTAGCCAAAGCTGATGATCTTCCCACCTGTAAGTAAAAATCATGAGAGAATTCAGCTAAACCAATTATGTTTTCATGTAGCCCCATTGTCTTTTAGGCAGAAACTTGGAAAGATGTCTGGTTAATTATTGATATTTCTACTTAACTAACTACCCATTAATTACCAGGACTTTTTTGTATAGAATTCTTAGGAGAGTTGTTGCTAAATATATAAAATGCTTGTTTTTGTCTTCATAAAAGTCAGCCATTTTTTAACCTTTTCTTAATGACTCACTTATTGCTCACGATAGCAATGCTGTGTTAGTTGTTTGTGTTTACCGAGAAAGTATATTGGGCTCCTCTATTTCATACTCAATGTCTACAGATTGCTGTGATGTTGACCCGCTGCCTTTTGAAGAGTAAACCCATGGCCTCAAACTTGTAAAGCACACACACTACCACTGAGCCATCTCCCTCGCCTTGTTGGTATGCTTTACTACGGCACAGTGACACCTTATAGATGTTACTAAGGCTTTAGGGCTTGGTTTATCCTTTTAGTGAATTACTCCCCAGCTTTGGGTAGTTCATTTACTGTTGTTTTGTTTTCCTTCTTTTATGGCCACTTCAGTAAATGTCTCTTTCTTCATTAATATGTATGCTTGTTATCTGTTTCCCTTGAAGTCTTAATTCTACTTGCTGTTATAGCCTAATCCTCAGTTAGTTGGTTTTTTTTCCTGTTTTTCTTGCCATTTCTGTTTCTGGACTAGTGTATATAATTCTCCATGCCAACTTCAATTTATTATGGTGGAGAAATCCCAAGTGATTTCAGCATATTTTTACCTCTTTTTCATTGTTGTTATTCCTTCTCAGTTTCACTCATCACCTCTGTGATTATATCCAGTTGTACGTGTCTGAAATTGCCAAATGTCTGATGTATAAATCAGTCCTTTTATTTGTATAATTGTTATCTTCTCAAATTCTTTCATGTCTGTATTCCTTGCCAGGGATATAGCTCAGTGGCACAAGCGTCTGCCTGGCAAGCAGAAAGTCCTAAGCTCAATTCCCGGTATCCAAAAAAAAAAAAAAGCAAATTTGTATTCCTGTAGCTTTCCAATTCATACAATATGCTTCTAAAATAAACACTGACATGAATTTAAAGATGTGGAGTTAGAACAGGCATGGTGGTACATGCCTGTAATCCCAGCACTCGGGAGGTTGAGGCAGGAGGATCGCTGCGAGTTCAAGGCCAACCTGAGCTGTATAAGTGAGTTGAAGGCCAGCCTGCACTACATGGAGAGACCCTGTTTCAAAAAACAAAACAAAACAAAATAAAAAAAAACTAAAGATGTGGAATTAGAATGAGCACAATTTTATTGTAAGATAATAAAGTAATCCATTCTTTATTCTCAAAGTGTATTCTCTGGACCAAGGGTAGAAGAATTACCTAGGAACTGGTTAAAAATTGTATACAGATTCTTAGATTTTATTCCATACTTACTGAACTAGAAATTGCTGGATGGAGCCTGGCAATCTGTTTTAACAAGCTCGCTGAGTGATTCTGATCTAAAATTTGAGAACCACTGATACAGACATTAATTGAAAGCAGTATTGAAAAAAGGCTATTACATACTTTTGAATTTTTGCAACACCTACTGTATTCCTAGACTCTGAGTTTTAGGTTGATTGAACTCTTTTTCATTGCTTTTTCTTAAACCATACCCAAAATTTCATCAAAAATAAACTGTAGTTTTATGATATTTAGAAACAGTCTGTTCAAAATCTGAGCAAGGCTTGATTACCTGCCTGTGTACATTTCTTTTTCATGTCATGTATGTATAAAAGTATATTGTTTATATTTAAATATATAAGTCTTTTTTCTTTTTTGAGACATGGTCTTGCTGTATAATGCAGGCTGGTCTTCAACTTGTTTATGTAGCCCAGGTTGGCCTTGAACTTAGAGTAGTCCTGCCTCAGCCACCCAAGTGCTGGGATTATAGGCGTGCACCACCACACTCAGCATATGTGTATGTCTTCTTTTTTGCGTTGGAGTTTCCAGATGCTTCCAATACTTGATTCATACATGGAGATTTTTAAAAATGGGACTGCCATTGACTAGAGGACAGACCTAAGGATCTAGCTGTCTTCACCTACTCAGTCACTGAGAACTGAAGAGAAAAACAGTTCAGCACAATGCTAACCCGTAAACAATCCCCAGTACCATGTTTATGAAGCTATATACAAAGATATAAACTCAAAAGTAGGATTCTCACATCATAGATTATCTTTAGCTTCACAATATTTATATTAGTTTATTGTTTCTTTCTTTTTTTTTTTTTTTTTTGGTACCAGAAATCGAACTCAGGACCTTGTGCTTGCCAGGCAGGCACTTGTGCCACTGAGCTATATCCCTGGCCCCTAGCTTATTGTGTCTGCTAATAATATGTGACTGTTTCTATTTATCTGACCACATCATGACCAACATGAGTTTGATAGGTTTGATGTTTTCCCAATCTGATGATTATGAACTGTAATTATTTTTAACTAAAATTTTCTTCAGTACTAAAGACCTTAACCATCTCTTCATATTTTTTTTGCCATTTGGATTGCCTTCTGTAAGTTGCCTGACAAGCATTTTTGCCCACTTTTCTATTGGATTGTGTCTTGATTACTTTTCTCCTTGCTGAGACAAAATACCTGACATCCAAATTAAAGAGCTTGTCACAAAACAAAGTGATTGCAATCACACACCTCTACTCCCAGCACTTGGGAGGCTGAGGCACAAAGCTTGCTGTTTGAGGCCAGCCTGGGCTAAACAGTGAGTTCAAGGCCAGCCTGGACTACATAGCATAACCCTGTCTCAGAAAAACAAAACAAGCCAGGCGTGGTGGTACATGCCTGTAATCCTAGGACTGAGGAGGCTGAGGCAGGAGGATCATTGCAAGTTTAAGGCCAGCCTGGGCTACAAAATGGGCTCAAGGCCAGCCTGAACTGGATAGCAAGACTCTGTCTCAAAAAGACAAAAAAAAAGAATACTGTAAAACTTCTATGCCTGCAAATTTGATAAGCCAAATGAAATGAACCAATTCCTTGAGACAATCTGCCAGACTTCACAGAAGTTTGAATAGGTTTATATCTAAGAAAGAAATTAGGGCCAGGGATATAACGCAGCGGCACAAGCACCTGCCTGGCAAGCAGAAGGCCCTGAGTTCAATTCCTGGTACAAAAAAAAAAACAAAAAAACAAAAAAACCCAAAAAACTGGTGGAAAGAAATTAAATCAATAAGTCCTATCTAAAGCAGTAAAACAATAAGCCTATATGAATTTGCTGGCAAATTCTACCAAAGAAGAAAGAAGAAATTACACCAGTTTTCTAGAGCAGAAAGAATATTTTCTAACCCATTCTATGGTGCCATCATTATTCTTATACCAAAACCAGACAAAGGATTACCCCTAAAAAAGAAATTTGAGGTTTCCAGGAAGATGGCAGACTGGTAAGCAGTAGAGAAAGAGCCTCTTTGAGGTGTGCTGTCCAGATGTGCTGTCCAGTATAGCAATGGGAGGAACAGAAGAAGGAAAGTGGGTCCGTGGACCCAGGAAGGATCTGAAGCAATAGTAGAAGCCCACAGGGAGAACAAACAGAGAAACTTCAAAGAAGAAGGTGGTGGCAGACAGCACCTTCTCCCTGAGTGGGGACTCTGTGAGGACAACAGTTCAAACCTGCAGACACATAGTGACTGCTGACAACCCCAGAGACCTCCATGGAGAGATGTAGCAGTGCGATGGAGGAGTGGATGCCATGGACTGCAATGGCTGGTGAGTGGCCTGGATTTGGCCGTCAGAGGGGAGAGGGCAACTGCATGGAGAGGGCCAGATGAGCTAAGAACTCAAAACAGCTGCTGGCTCCATCTGAGTTCAAGCCTGCAGAAGGTGCACTGACTGCTGCAGGCTAAATGGGTCTGGATCCAGCCTCACAGCCAGACACCCACCTGAATTTCAAGGGAAATAAAGGTGCAGGGTCACTGAGATTATCCTCTGTTTCACTATAAAGCTGCTGCTGACTTCCTGGGATAAATCAACATGGATCTGGACTGTGGCTGCACATATTGTCTACCAGTGACAGCAGAGACAAATCTTGAAGTGGACATTTTATTTTTCTTCTCTCTTTTCTTATTTTTGGGGGGTTCTTTTCACTGTTTGACATTGTTTTTATGAGTGTGAACATGGTTTTTTGTGGTGGTTCTGTTCTGTTCTTCTGTTTCTTCCTTCTCTCTTTCCCTCTGTCTTCTGCACCAGTTTGCCAAAGTTTGCATGTGATTCCCCCTTGTCCTCCAGCCTTGCTTCTAATCTCTTCATCTTTAATTTTTCTATTTTTTCCCCATAACCCCTTTTCAGTTTTCTCCCCTGAGGATAAAATTGGCATATTGAGGGCTTATTTATTGCATACAATTTTCTGGAGTTTTTTTAGATTTTGTTGTATAACCACAAAATCTAGTTCATACAGTTAAAGGTGGCAATAATGCTTAGGTCAGTTTGTCATTTTCTAGGCTGTGTTTGATGCTATTGTTATTTGCTGATTGTACCACTTTAGCCAGAGTGGCATAGTTGTTCTAACCAGCTGTTCTTCCTGGTATACCAAGACTGAGATTGCCTAAGGGTCATAGAAAATACTGTGGGCCAGTGACAAAGAACCAGGGGCTGGGCCCAGCAGGAAGCAACTTCTCATTCCCAATAAATTGAAGAGGTAGGATCTTGCATCAAATTCAAAACCCAAAAGCCAGCTACACCTGGAACACACCTCTGAGAAATAGTCATTTCCTAAGGGTTCTAAATACTAGCAATAAAACTATTTACTATAAGCAATTTATTAATATCAACCCAGGAATTAAACAAACAAACAAATAGAAAATGAGAAGACACTTAAACAAGGTGCAACCGCAGACATCCAGTTCACTAAAGGCAAACCGAGGGGTCAATGAAGTAGAACAGGCTGAAAGCCACCAACCTGGCCTCTGACATGGGAACAACAAAGCTAGTGAACAAGGTGCTAAAA